AGAACTTCAGAATCAACAGGGCTGAAAAAATCTGTTTCAGGTTTAAGAGTTGGAATTTTTAAAAAAATGACAAGTAGGGGGCAGGTGGAGGGGGTGTTAGAAAACAACCCTAATCAAGTTTCTTAATTAGATAACATAATTCAGGGCACAGATCAGATTATAATATGATCTTTCTCTTTTTATGTTCCAGATGGCCTCATGGTTACTATAATTGCATTGAAAGAGAGGTAATGGGGTTAAGGAAAAAAACAAGGCTCAGAAGAACCTCAGGTGGTTATTAGAATATGAAACTGACCAAAAGGAAACAGAACTAAGTTTTGAAAGAACTGTGTTGCTGAAGAAATCATGAGCCTCTACTCAAAAGTCTTTTGTCTTTTGGGGAGTAAAACCACATTTGCCACCCTTGTATAAGCAGAAAATGGACTGTAAAATATGTATAGCTGAAAATAGGACATATTTTCCAACATTCATTTCAAATATGTTCAAGCAAGATAACTGAAAATGAAGAAACTTGCAGAAGACAACACAAGGGCCATAATGGATAGCAATATCAAGGACCCAGAGAACAGTCTCTGGTCTAATCTTGGAAGTTTCCATCCCTAGGGTGGTGGACCTTCATGATGCCTGGCCCTGGAAAATTCCTGCATTGCCTGGGACCACTGGCTGCTTCATTTCTTCTATTGTTTCCTATTCTATATGATAATCTTCACTGCAGTTATCATGTCCTTGTTACACCATAGTATGCTGAGTACGTGGAAGGGAGGAGAAGATCATTTTTTTAGGCCATGGGTTCCAGAAATGAGACAATTTGCATCAAAGTCTAATAGAAAACTGTACATAACCCAGATCATAGAAAATTTCATGATCAATATCCACCTTGAGTGTGGGCATTGAGAGTGGCAATCTCTGTGTAGTCCTCGACTAGACATATTTTATCATTTTACGAATGAGAAAACATATAATAAGTCACTTTTGTTGATTTTTTAAAAAGTTGGGTTTTTTTTGCTACCACACAGAGAATATTATAGTAGAATTGTAGTTGAATAATGGCAAAATTGGAAGATAGATACGTTGAAGTAGTTCAATATCAGTGTAAATTAAATGAGTTAGTTTACAAAATAAATGATGAGAAATTGAGTTTAATTATCACAAAGAAAGTTAAAGTTTTCTGTTTTCACTTGTTACCCTTTTGTGCTACCACTAGACTACTGTCAATGAGTCATTATAAGCAAAGCCAAGTCAACTGCAGGTGTTGATAATGACCACTTATCTGTTTTCATACTGTTCCAAAGCTGTACGTTGTTACTTATTCCAGATTGAGATATTTTTATTCTAATTGGTACCTTTAGAGATCTGGTACTCAACCAGTTGGCATGGTCCAGCAGGTGAGGCAAATAAATAGCACTTTTGTCATGGTAAAAATGAAAGCAAATTGACTAATATCTATCAATGATAATTTTAGATATGCCACTGCTCTTATGTTGACTCATACATTCATAAGATAATGGCTGAGGGTACTGTCCTATGGGAGGACCTGTACATTTTACCACATAAAAAGATATTGACAATAGCAGTAGGAACAAATAAGAAGTTCTAATATTAATACTGGTTGATTTTGATGTTTTATCTATCACCGATGAAATTAAAAAGTTATTGGTCAAATCAATAAACCAATAGTTGAGACACAAATGAAAACATAAAAATAATGTACTAATTTGCTGATCATTGAGGTAATTTGCACATTTAGTCTGTATTCCCTCCCCCCACAGATACAAGCTCTTAACACAGGCTATATGCCTAAAATTTGTATAATGTTTTACATTAGAGCTTGATGCATGGATCTTGCAAACAATAGGTACTCCATACATATTTATTGATGATGTAAAATCTTTCATTTATAAACAGCTAATTTGTTATAGTACACACATGTATGCATTTTTAGGTCATTTAGCCATGCATGTCAATAGTCCTGCTTCCCACTTGTCCCACTGCTGGGTGTATTAGAGTTGTTGTATTTTTTGATTTGTTAGTTAACTGCAAAATTTTGACATGTTACTGCAGATGAGTTTTTTTATGCTTTGTTACTTCAATCAATCAGTATCAAACACTTGGTTTTTTAAACTAGTAATTTCCATAAGTTAAAAGGAGATAGGATCTTACCAATCCAAAAGAGCTCCATCATATTTTTGTTTATTAGTATTTAGAAATTGCTTTGACAGATTATTTTTGTTAAGACACTTTGCTGTTGTTAGGATAAGAAGCTTGGGCCCTTTCTGCTGACTGCCTTTCTCTAGATTAATCATTCAGGATTACGACTTAAATTCAAACACGGAGAGCAATGCTATGTAGAATTAAGGGGTACAAGCCAGGGTTGAACAAATGTATGTCAGAATTTGAGATGATATAAAGAGAAAATTGCAAATATATGTATAACCATTTCTCAGTTTGTGTATACATAAGCCACATATAAGCTATACAAAGACACATATAAGTTGAAAAATACACAAATATAAATTATATATGATGCTGAATATTGAATTCAATGTATAATGAATTGATGTCAGCATATATCTAGTGTTGCAGGTTGAACACTATATATTACTGTATCTTCCTAAAGGATATATTGAAGCCCTTATTTTTAGTACTTATGAATGTGAACTTATTTGGAAACAGGCCCTTTGTAGATGCAATAAAGTTAAAATGAATTCATTAGGTGAACCCGTAATCCAAAATTATTGACATCATTATAAGAAGAGGAGGGAGGTTGGGTATGGTGGCTCACACCCATAATCCCAGCACTTTGAGAGGCTGAGACAGGAGAATTACTTAAGGCCAGGAGTTCAAGACCAGCCTGGACAATATAGTGAGACCACAAGAAATGATTTAAGAATTAGCAGTACGTGGAGGTGTGCCTGTTGTCCTAGCTACTTGGGAGGCTGAGGCTTGAGCCCAGGAACTTAAGATTGCTATAAGTTATGATTTTACCACTGGACTATAAATTGGGTGACAGAACAAACCTTGTCTCAAATAAGAAGAGGAGGAGGAGAAGGAGGAGAGGAGACACAGAGAATATCATGTGACATCAGACAGAGATTGAAGTGCTGCAGCAGCTGCAAGTCAAGGAATACAAAGAAATGCTAAGGATTGCCAGCAAGCTACCAAAAGCTAGAATTAAGCAGGCAAGTATTCTTTCCTAAAGGTTTCAGAGGGAACATGGCTATGCAGACACCTTGATTTCAGACTTCTAAGCTCCATAATTATGAGACAATACATTTTGTTGTATTGAGTCACTCAGTTTGTGGTACTTTATTTATAGCAGGCCTAGGAAACTAATACACAGCCATCAAGTATCCAGAATCTAGGACAGGGAACCAAAGTGAGGTTTGCCTCCTGAAGTCTAGAGCTGGTTGTAGCTCCTGGTGAGATATAGAATAGACACAGTGGCAGCCCCATGACCACAAGAGGAATGAAGCAACCTCAAAAGAACTAAACTGAAAAGATAAGTGTTACCCAGCTTTCAAAGGGTCAAGCATGCTTACTTTACACTTACCATTTTGAGGAACAGCAAAAGCACAGGCATTACTAAATTCATGTTTAATAATTAGAAAAACATAAGAAACAATATAGAAATAACTCATTGGTACAATAGATGCAAAAATCTTCAATAAAATACATATTAAACAAAATTTAGCAGTAAATAAATAAATACATCATAACCAATTAAGGCATTTTTCAGGAATACAAGGATAGTTCAACTTCATTAAATCTATTACTCCAAAATGCTATATTAACAAGTTAAAGAAGAAAATAAACCATGCAAAGATAAATGTTGAAAATTCTCTGAACAAATTCCAAAACTCACTCTTGATTTTTTAAAAAAATGCTTGTAAGAAAACTATAAATAGAAAAGCAAAATTCCTAGCCTGATTGAGGTCATCTATCAAAAACCACAAGAAAGTGGTGAGCATTTTCATTAAGTTAGGGATAAGAATAGGATACTTGCTCTCATGGCTTCTAATAAACAGTGAAATGTAGGTAATGGTCAATGCAATGTTCAGAATTATTACAAGAACTATTTATACCCCTAAGGCTATTGAAATAAAAAGAAAAAAAGCAAAAAAAGATTACGGGAAGAAAGAAATTACACAAATAATAATAATTACAAAGGAAGAGATAGCATTATTTTTGTTTATTATATAATTACCTACATTGAGAATTCAACAGACTCTGTAAAGAGGTTATTAGAATTGAACAACACACAAAAGTTAGTAACATTCCAAAAAATGAAGACACTAACAATTAACAAAAAAGTCAGCTATGTAGTTATACAGAGTGTAAGACTTATGTAAAAAAATTATTGGCGATCATGAAAAAAAGGTCTAAATAAATGGAAAATGATATTCATATATTGTTCATATGTTTTTTGGGAAAACTCTGGTGACGCACCCCAGATTAATCTTTAATTCTAATATAATTCCAGTAGTAATCTCCTTAGCTTCTTTTATGGGATTAGAAAACTACTAATGCAAAATCACAGGGCCAAAAATAACTATGACAATTTGAAGAACTGGGATAGTAAACTTGACCTAACAGATATCAAGAATTATATAAAGGAGTTCGGGCACAGTGTCTCACACCTATAATCCTAGCAATTGGGGACACCAAGGCAGGAGAATTGCTTGAGCCCAGGAGTTTAAGACCAGCCTAGGCAACATAGCTTGACCTTGTCTCTATGCACACCTGTAGTTCTAGCTACTTGGGAGACTGAGGTGGAAAATTACCTGAGTCCAGGATATGGAGGCTGTGGTGAGCCGTGATCCTGCCACTATATCCTAGAGTGAGACTCAAACTAAATAATAATAATAATTTTAATAAAATAATAATAAAGATATTAGCATTCGGGCAGGATGAATACATAGAACAAAGGAATATGAAGAGCCTAGTAACTGACCCACTCGTATATGACAATAATAAATGAGATCTTTCCTTTCGCTGCTGCGGCTGCAGCCATGAGTATGCTCAGGTTTCAGAAGAGGCTTGCTTGCCTCCAGCGTCCTACGCTGTGGCACAAGGAAGGTCTGGTTGGACCCCGGTGAGACCAATGAAATCGCCAATGCCAATTTCCTCAGCAGAACCGGAAACTGATCAAAGATGGGCTGATCATCCAGCAAGCCAGTGACTGTCCATTCCCGGCCTCGATGCCGGAAGGAAGAACACCCTGGCCCCCCAGAAGGGCAGGGACACGGGCAGAGGTAAACCAAAGGGGACAGTCAAAGCGCCGGCTGCTCAGGAGATACCGTGAATCGAAGAAGAGCGATCGCCACATGCATCACAGCCTGTACCTGAAGGTGAAAGGGAATGTGTTCAAGAACAAACGGATCCTCATGGAACACATCCACAAGCTGAAGGCAGACAAGGCCCGCAAGAAAGAAGCTCCTGGTAGACCAGGCTGAGGCCTGAAGGGCGAAGACCAAGGAAGCGCGCAAGCGTGGTGAAGAGCACCTGCAGGCCAAGGAGGAGAGCGTCAAGACTCTGTCCAAGGAGGACGAGACCAAGAAATAAGACTCCCCGCCCTTGTCTGTACTTAGTGGCCTTGGTAGTTACAAAGATCAGTCCTGCAAATAAAACGGGCTTTTCTTTGCTTGTCTCTAAAAAAAATTAAAATAAAAAGAATGAGAAATGTGACATTACAAATGAATGGAAAACAGGATGGATAGTAGATAAATGGTGCTAAGACCATTGTCTATCTCTATGGAAAAAAATCAAATAAGGTGCTTTAAAACTTTTTGAGGAAAATATAGAATTATATCTTTAGGTAAGAAAGGATTTATTTACGGAAGATACAAAAAGCATAAATTATAAAAAAGAATTCTGCTATATTTGCTACATCGTAAGTGAAGCTTTTTGTGCAAAAGGAAACTATAAACAAACTGAAAAACTAGTCACAGACTGAGAGAAGATATTTGTAGCCCACATAACTGACAAACAGAAGTATCAATAGCCCAATGAAAAAATGCAAAAGATATAAATAGGTAATTCACAGGAAAAAAAATGGCCAAAAAAATGACTGAAAATTTGCTCAATTGTTCTAGTAATCAGGGGAAGCAAATTAAAACCATAAGATAATTTTATGCATGTGACTGGCAAAACTAAAAAATAATATGACAATAAAAAATGTTAGAGAAGCAGAAACTCTCAGATACTCCTAGCAGGAGCATTAAGTAGTTCAGAATCCCTAGAGATTAGTTTGTTGTCTAGTAAAGTTGACATATTCCATGACACAGAAATTTCGCCTCTGTATGTACACCATGGAGAAACATTGGTATAAATGAATAAGGAATCTTGTACAGCATAATTCACAACAGTAGAAAATAGAGCAAGTAAAATGTACAATTGGAAAACAGATCAATAAATATTGTGCATTCATCAAACTAAAGAACACATTTATTTCAAAATAAATAAAGTGTGTGTATGAGAATATGGATAAATGCTTTTAAAAATCAAGTAAAAAGGTGAATTATAGAAGATGATGAATTATATACCACTTATATGCATTTAAAAATCTTTCAATATAGTCGATAATAAAAATAATGTACTGTTATTACAAAATGAAAAATATAACACAAAATAAGATGTTTCTAAAAGTGTCATTCATTTGCTTTTAGGTAAATAGAATTTGAAATGTATTTGAAATTCTTCAGGGTTACCATTTATCAGCAAGAGCAAAAAAATCTTATTAATTAAATTAGACAGATTAAGGAACACAAATATAATGAAACATAGAAATCTACAAATAACCCAAGCTAATTCCTCCAAATTCTCTCTCATGAGCTATTGTCAGGATTGCTAAGACAAAGCATACTGCATTTTGTGTTTCTTTTTACTTTCTCTATCCACCATTCAGCAGGGAGGCTAATTGACAGTGAAATGACCAAAATTCAGGAGCTAGAAGGAATAAACACTGGATCATTTACAAACCAGATAATCAAGACTAATCAGGATTTGACTTTACTAAATACCAATTCAAACAATGAAATTAAGTTAAATATGTAAAACTGGTCTAGAGATATGTTTGTTTTGGGGTTTTTTGGTTTTGTTTTGTTTGGTGTTTGAGTCAAAGTTGCCCAGACTGGAGTGCAGTGGCAGGATCACAGCTCATTGTAACCATGGAACTCCTGGGCTCAATGAATCCTGTCGCCTCGGTCACCCAAAATGCTGGAATTATAAGCATGCACCGCCATGCTGAGCCAGGTTGTTCTTTTGAATCAGTTTGCCTCTCCGAGTGGCAGATGTCTGTACCACTGTCATTATCAGGACATGGGACAGAAACATAGCTGTTACTTTTCTTCTGGGATAGTGCTGAGTGGATGTAGGAAAATGGAAAGATATCGGGGAGCAGTTAAGAAATCACATGATTCGCAATAAAAAGACCTGTTTATTAAAGGCTCTGGAAACCTGCTCCCGTTTGTGAGTAAAACCTGTAAAAACTAGTCCAACACGGCAATGGATTTGACCAGTAAGCGACTTCCAAGCTCATTATATCCTCATTGTAATACCTTAGTATACTAAATGACATACGTACGAGTGCCATGACAGTTTCAGTTGTGAGGGAATATGGGTAGAAAATGAGAGAGTACCAAATTTTGGGAAAAAACGACCTATTTCCTAGAAAACCCATGATATGCTGACCTTTTGATATGAGTATTTCACCCCTTAGTTAAAGATAGCTATGAAAAGGAAAACCTCAAACTCTATGGGGTGCAACTTACTCTCTCAAATTCACCCGCACTTCCTATCTATTGAGTGTGTACTTTCCTTTAATAATATAACTCTTTCACTTTCACTTTTGTTTTGTTCTGACTCTACCCTAAATTATTTCTTGTGATAATATCAAGAACCTGAGTACCAAGCTGAGGTTGAGGGTCTCACCTGCTTCAGGAGACCCTTCCTAGTCTGCCAGTATCACGACTTTTCAACTTTTCAACTCAACAAATATTTAATTTGGGAATTCATTATAGAACAATATAACTGCTGTTTTCCATGCAATATGGGAGTTATGTGTGTTGAGCCTCTTTTCTTTAGAATCCTAGAAGTCTACCCTTCTTAACATTCTCTTTTTCTGTCTTGAACTAAAAATGCAGCAAAATCAGTCGTACCAAGTATTTGTATTACCTTTCCCTATTATTTCATTAAGAAACTTTAAAATGAGCTATTTTAACCATTAATTATTGTAAGCAGTGTTTTCTATAGAAAGTCACTAAAACAATTACCTATTATTACTACCAAACTTCAAATCTGTCTTCCTGAATAAAAATGTGCATTTCTCAAGAGAGGAGTTTTATTGAGGTTGTTGTGGGGCATTTACATGGGAGCAGCTGACATATGGTTGCAGATTTATGCCTGATAATTATAGAGCACTATACAGTTCTTTTAAAAATGCTTGCATTTTGTTATGTCACTGGATTCTTAAAACAATTCTGTAAGGTCACAAATCCAGTGTTTCTCATTTTACAGATGAGGAAATAGAGGTCTCAAAAGGCTATGTGACTTGACAAGGTCATCTAGCTAGTAGGTGGTAGGGTCCATTCAAATTTAGGTCTTCTGATTCTAACTGCAGGGCTCCTTTTATATGCTTGGATGCCCTGTTTTATTATAGGAAGCTTAAATAGATATCTTGGCACTGTATACTCATTAAATAAATGTCTTTGGTGGATTTCACCATTACATTCAAGACAGACGAATTGAAGTATTATCGTGATAAGAGTTTGAGAGGAAGTTAGTAAAATAATGCATGTGGGAACATCTAGTAGAAATGATATATAAAAGAAAAAAACCAATATTTGTGGAAAGAACTAATATTAATTAGTATAAATATAGTAGAAATGTAATAAATACGCGGCAGGAGCTGCACAGTCCATTACTATCCCTGTTTAGTGGAATATTTCAAAATAGTTCTTTTAGATTCATATTGGTGCAGGGTGGAACTTTCCCTGTGTGATGCCACCTCCTCACTCCAAGTTTTCACTCTTCTCTCCAGAGGATTATACAAGAGTTCGTGACTGCTAGGTGTGTTTGTCAATAGTGGGGTATGTCTGTAGACTGAGGACCTGGGTGGAATCTCAAGGAACAGATATGTATCTGACCAAACTGAGTGACTGTCAGAAATGGGTTGGCCTCTGGATTTGGAGTTCCCTGGCTTCTGCCTTTCTCTCAGGAGCTGACAGTGAGAGGTGCTTGCTCAGGTACTGTCATATTCCCTAGCTCCCTGCATGATTCCTAACTCTACTCTTCTTCTCTTGTGCATGGCATCTTTGATCTAGTCTGTATGAATGGGAAACACTGTAAAAACTCAATCTGTTTAGATACTGGTATCAGTAACAAGTAGTGACAGCGAACATTTGATGCTTACTGTGTGACCAGTGCTATTTTAAGCAACTTATACACAGAAACTCACTTAAGAGATGTTAACAACCCTATTTTGTGTGTGAGGAAACTAAGGCATGCAGAAGTTAAATAACTGGTCTGAAATTCTTCAATTATCAACTTACAAAGCTGGCATTTGAACTCAGAGTCAGACTCAAGGGTCTGAATTTTTAAACATTTCTCCATACTTCTTTCAATAATACAACTTTACAGGAGACCGTGGTGAATCCTTCAAGCCTAACTGCTATGAATGATGGTAGAGGGTGATGAGGGGGAGATTAAAAGATTTTTTTAGGATAAAAATTAAGGAGTTTTTGAGTGTAAAATGGAGGAAAGCACACCAGTTAATATGCCAGCATATATATCCCATACACAGATATTAACATTAAATATAATAGACCATATCATATATATATATTATATATCATATTAGATGTGATTATGTTTTCATTGGTTTATCAAGCAGCTAAGTCTCGATTTTTTTGAGTTGGAGTCTCACTCTGTCACCCAGGCTGGAGCGCAGTGGCACGCTCACGGCACCTGCAACCTCGACCTGCTGGACTAAGGTGATCCTTCCACCTCAGCCTTCCAAGTAACTGGAACTACGGCATGCACCACCACGCCTGGCTGATTTTTTGATTCACTGTAGAGACGAAGGCTCATCAAGTTGCCCAAGGTGGTCTCAAACCCCTGGGCTCAGGCAATCCTCTCTCCTCAGACTCCCAAAGTGCTGGGATTACAGGTGTGAGCCACTGGGCCCAGTCTATCAAGCAGCTAAGTATTGTTTTTTTCATGTTGTCATTTTTAAGAGCTTCATGTTCAAACCACATTTGCAAATTTTTCATCCCACAGTATTTGACCAACAAAGTCTAATTTAATAATGTCAAAATCAAAATGAACTAACAGATTTTAGAAAAAATAGTCACATATGGTTCATTTAATTTGGATTGTGCATTGCTCATGTGAGTGTCCAAACTCACAGCACAGCTTTTCCTTTAGCATCTTTTTTTTTTTTTTTTTTTTTTTTTTTTTTTTTTGGTGCTATCTCTTGTAGCCAAGTAAGAATATTTTATTTGGGGGAAGATAAATATTCAATTAACCCTGGCTCTCTCTGTTAAATATCTTCCCATTTTTCAAAT